TGAGCTTATATCTTTAAAAATGTCAATATTTAAGAAAGCACAGTGCAATTTAACACAAGTCATTATTTAATAAAGAAAAATTTTATTTATTTATAGCTCACAAGTCACGGTAGTCACATAGTGACTGTAAGGTTGCTTGTTATGATTAAATGTACTTATTTATATTTATAAATAAATACATATACAGTTTAATATATAATATAAGTACAAGTGTCGCGTGAATGCTGTATTGCGCGTGCGATCGATTTGTGGCCAAGACTGCTATGTCTTTACCAAATAAAATGCCTTGCTACGATTGTCAAGGTCAACGGACCACCAATTGACATTTAAAATTGTATTGAATTATTCCCAACGATTATCACTCGGTTTAACCAACATAAACGTTAGTCTCCTCCCACTCGATTGATTTCCTGGGAGTACCCACCACCTTCTAGGTATGTTAACCAAATAAAATATTTACAATCTAAAAAATCTAAACATTTATATCAAATATTAATAGTTAAATCTATTATATTTAAATTTCCCGCGGCGATTTAAATTAACAACAGACGGATGGACCTCGCCCCAAAACGACTCTTGGTCCCTCTGCGGTTGTCAACGGTGTTTTGTGTAAACAAACTATACGCCTACGGGCTTTTAACAATCTTGATCATCATCATCAACATCCTAATCACAAACTAAATTTAATTCTGTTGCGTAATAGCTTATCTGCAGGATTAACTAGGCGCCGTTTGCAAAAAAAAAAATAAAATCAAGAGAGAGAAATAAATAAAAAAAAAAATAAAAATAATAAAAACAATTTTTTGGCAAGACGTCATCCTTTTATAAACGTACTGCAGTGACGAGCAAGTAAAGTCGCACGGAGAATTGCTGGAGTTTTACTCTGGGCCCGTGGTGGGGGAAGAGAAAACGCGTTCTTGAATACTCTTTCCATCAACGGGTTAATTGATACCCAATTGTTAAAAATATAATTAGTAAATTAGCTGATGAAAAAAAAAATATTATTACCAATAAAATAATATTAAAAATATGTGTTGAATAAAAAATATGATACGTATAGGCGAGACTTAGAGCGTCCCTCGTGTAATTATGTCGCATTACCTTCCAAGAGCCGAGCGATGATGTTGTCAATGTTTAATTTATCTGTTTCAGCCATCGGGCCGGGTTTTTTTGTGCGTCCCGGGCTTCACTGGGTGCACCTCGCGACTAAAATGGCCCTTGATTTGAGTTTATTTAAAAACTCGAAATATCCGTGACACTATGATGTTTAACACAGATTTAGTCTTGATGCTTACGCGGCTCAGAACGTACGACGAGAGATTACTTGCAATGGCCGCCAGACTCAACCGCAAAACTCCCTCTACCTCTGCTCTTCGTTTAACTTTTTCGTCGAGCACTAATATAACGTGCGCACCAACCAACGCGACGATTGCTCTTGGCTCTAATATTTTTTTTCTTTTTCTTTACTTACTCTCCACTCCTCACTCTTCAACAACCTTACGCTGAATATGAACAAGACAGAAGACCACCTGAATTTTGCTTATTACGCTATTTTTTTCTGACACACTATTACCAACTATGGAAATAAAGTATAATACTAAAGTTAGCAGTCACTTCACAATTTTTTAATTTTATTTAACAAAATAATTTCTTCCAAAAAATTAATTTTAAAAAATTGCATTTTTAGTTTTTTAAAATTTCTACATGTCAATTTTTTTTTAACTAATTTATTTCTTAAAAAAATTCTAAAATTTATTAAATATCATTTAAAAATTTTTATTAGAAATTTTTTATTGAAAAAATTTCAATTAAACAATTAAAAAAAAAATTTTCACGTGTAAAAAACTTAAAAAACTATAAGTGCAATTTTTTACAAATATCTTTTTAGTTGTAATTTAATTAATAAAAAAAATTAAAAAATTTTTAGACGTCTGCTAACTTGAGTGTCATTTACCAACTGATAAAACTAAAGCTAACATTTTTGATTTTGTTATTTATTAAATTAGGACAAAAAAATATTTTTTAAAAATTACACTTGAAGTTTTTAAAGTTTTTTGCAAATGAAATTTTTTTTTTTCATTTTTTTCATTAAAAAAAATTCTAAAAATTTTTAGATGTTTGCTAACTTAATTTTCATTACCAACTGATAAGTAATAAATAAAACGAGGCCACACAAGATCTCTAGTGCTGCCCCCACTTTTAAATTTCTCCCTCCATTTTAAATTTTTCCACGGCCATTTTTATTTTATATAATTTAATTTTCACCTAAAATTTATTTTTTCATCACTAATAAATTTGTCAATAAAAATAACTTTTCAATTTTTATCACTAAGCTTGATATTGTTTTTTTTTACACTTTATTTTTAACAACACCGTTGACGCTGCCAACAAATACAAAAAATATAATTACCAGTTTATATCCAGCGACATGATTTTAACCAATGACAGCTCTGAATTTTAATACGCAATCTCGTGTAAACGCATGGTGAATTTTATTAAACGTAAAATCTTCAACTGAACACTTGTGCTTGTAAGAACTCGTAAATTTACAATTTATACAATCGTTGATTGTTTTTTATTTACCATTTATTTATCAGCTTTTAACAATCAGCAACATGCCGGAAATTACGGTGAGTAAAATTAATAATTTACTAATAATTAATTTATTGAAAATTTAATTAATATCTAGGTTATTATTATTATCATCATCAAAATAACTCTTAATTGTTTTTTTTATTATTTAATTGACTAATTAATTTTTTTATGGTTGACAGACTAATGGAGACCATGAGAAGATCAATGGTGAGCATCAGGAGCAAGAAGAGGAAATAGATCCTCATTTCGAGCCAATTATTTCTTTGCCACTGATTGATGTGTCGAGCAACGAGGAGGATGAAGTTGAGATGCTTAAATTGTAACTTTAATTTATTATTTTATTTTTTTTTTTTACTTTATTTGATCAAATTAATTTATTTTGCATTTTTTTGATAGACGTGCTAAGCTGTACCGTTATGACTCATCAAATGATCCACCAGAATGGAAAGAAAGAGGTACCGGTGATGTTAAATTACTAAGACACAAAACCAAACATACAGTACGAGTGGTAATGCGACGAGATAAAACGCTGAAAATATGCGCAAATCATTTTATTACCCCTTGGATGGAATTGAAACCTAATTGCGGTAGCGATCGTGCCTGGGTTTGGAGTGTGTTAGCTGACTACGCTGATGAATTACTCAAGCCGGAATTACTTGCCATCAGATTTGCTAATGCCGAAAGTAATTATCTTTAAATTTTATTTTTTAAATTCCTTTAACTCGTCAAGACATGGGTGTTTTTTAGTGTCTCACTTGCACAGCAGCGATATTCATTATTTTAAATGTTGTTGCGTGAAAAAAAATCTCATAGCCCATGTCTTGAAGGGTTAAAGGGGGAAACACGTGTAGAAAAATGTTTTCATGTTGATTTTTTATTTATTTTTTCGAGGTATGAAAATTAATGTTATTTATTGAGACTATCAGGTTATTTTATACATCGACGTTTTAATTAGCAAATTGTTTAACTCCATTTTAGAGAATCTTCCATTTGTACGAAAAAACAATTAATTCAAAATTTATTATTATTTTAGAAAACAATTTAATATCTAATAGAGGTACAACGTTTTGGTTTGGATCATTCGAATAATTTATAATTTAACTATTGCAACATCAAAATTTTAAAAAATATGACATTAAAGCTAGCAGCCACTTAGCCATTTTTTTATTTTTTTTTTTTTAACAAATAGATTTTCTTCAAAAAATAATTTTTAAAAAATTGCATTTTTTATTTTTTAAAATTTCTTCACGTCAATTTCTTTAGTACGAAAAAATACTCATAAATATATCTATAAAATAACCTGATAATTTCAATAAATAATATTAATTTTTTATATCTTAAAAAAATTAATGAAAATTGACCCCCTTAATGATTGTAGAGCTCCATTTTTTTACAAGAAAATTATTAACATATATTTTTATTTAATATTACAGACGCTTCTCTTTGGAAAGAAACATTTGAAAAAGCAAAAAAAATAGTCGGCACTGAATGCGAGATCTACGCAGGAAAAAACAATCCTGACGCTGAAGTTGACAGCGACAGTGATTCGAGTTACAACGAAACGGATGAGAGTGATGCTGAGGATAAAGCACCAGAGAATCCAGAAAAAGAGAGCAATGAAAAGGAAGCGACAAATACAAATAAAACAGACTCGAGTACTGATCAAGTGACTGAACAACTCACAAATCTTGATGTCAAAGATACTAAAGAGGAATAGTAATCAAGGACTTTTTATAATCCATGTAAATTTAATATTAATTACTTATAATTGTATTAATAGACAAACATTCCCGCGTACAAGAATGGTGCAAGTGAAAATGTTGATTGCTTTGGACATTTCTTATTGTTAATAATTGATAATGATAACATTATAATAATAATTAAAATCACAGAAGTTTTTTTTTAAGTTCAAATATCTCGTTCATAATTCTTAACGCTTAATTTATACGGTTTTGCATACTTATCTGTGATTTATTCTTTTTTTTTTTATTACTATTTTATCCGGAGTTACGACTCATATTTTAGTGTGATGGTAAACAAAACAACGTTTAATCATGATTTTAGTAGTTAGTTTTTAATTTAAGGTAGTTGTAGCGTGAAAGGCATGTCAACAGAAAGTTATGAAATTTTTTTTATCGAAAGATAAATATATTAATAATTCCCTACCAAAATTTCAGATCAATTGACCGCACTGTTTTCGAGTAATTAATTTTCGAAATCGCATCTTTTACACGTAGAGGTATAGAGAGATGGTAAAGTTAGTATGAAATCTTTGGCCCACTCGAGTTATAAAGATATACCTTAATTATTTATTGTAATAATATTAAACAAAATACGTGTACTTTACTGTAATTATTATGTATACACTTGCCATTCAGCCATTGCTTTGGCATTAAAATTGAATAAATAAATAACTTTACCATCTCTCTATACCTCTACGTGTAAAAAATGCAATTTCAAAAATTAATTACTCAAAAACAGTGCGGTAAATTGATCTGAAATTTTGGTAGTGAATTATTAATATATTTATCTTTCGATAAAAAAAATTTCATAACTTTCTGTTGAAATGCCTTTCACGCTACAACTACCTTAAGTATTTGTACGGCATTTATTACGATTGAATTTATAATCACACTTATTTTTAAAACTGTTAACTTTTAAGAGCAAACAGTAATTCGATAAATAAATTTCAACTTATTGCTATAAAAAATTTATTTGATTGTTTTAATCCTTACCAGCGTATTTTTATATATTTTTTTGTATTAAAATTTTTTTTACATTCAGTCCATTACGACAGTAAAAAATTTGATATCGATTTAAGTGCTTTTGATATTAAAAACCACACTTTAATCGTAATAGAAATAATATATATAATTATTGTGATTACGATGTAGAAGATATTGGATTTTAAAAACATCAGCCTTGTGCTCACTATTATAATTTATAAATATATATATTAAAAAAAAATGGAATCCCTTGGAACTTTAATAAAAGTTCATCACAAAATAATATATTAATTGTAAATCGTAGACATTTTTTAAAGATTCAAAAACCAATCAAACAATTTATAATTCATCTCTAGGCGCAAAAGACTGAAGAATATTTTTCTTCTCTTCCATTGTCCGTTTTTTATCATCAGACAGTTTCTTCTTAAGCAACCCGTTTATTCTCGTGTGCTCAGACTTTACAAATCCGTCGCCTTTCTCCATTATCTTATCCATCATCTTCATATAGATTTTAGCGGCGAGTTTTTGCTCTTCTGGAAGAGTTTTCTCCAAATTTTTAGCCTGGCTCAAAATTTCCTGAAATTTTTAACAATAATTTTTAATTCAAGGTTAATTATGAGTTTTTAAATTACAAATTAGCTAAAAGATGTAAATTTTACTCTTAATGCAATAAATTAAATTAATTAATTAATTAAATTACAAAAAAACAAAACTAACTTTTCTTTTAGCTTCATCAGCTGTCTTAAACTCTTCAGCGAGCTTGTCCAGTTGCTCAACACACCCAGGTAGGCCCAAATAAATTCCAGTCTTAGCTCTGACCATTTTTTTAATATTTGTAGACGTAAAGTCATTTTCGTCTGCCTTGGTCAACAACCTCACGGGTTTAATTTGTCCTTCCTGGAACAACAGCACCACTGGAAAATCTTTCTTATCAATATTGAACCTTTTTGCCAAATCTCCGTTGTCTCTATTCCCAAAATCTTTTACTCCAACGATAGCCACTAACAGATCTTGAACATCCTTGGTAGTTTCAGCGACAGTTCCATATTCATCGTGCATATTTCCAAATGGAAATGCCACGTCGAATTTAACTATCGCAGCCTTGAATTTGCTGATTACCTGAAAAATTATCATTAAATTAATTTTAATGTTAAAAAATTTTCTGTTAATTTTAAACTCCTTTTTTTAAATAATTAATACTGAAGTTAGCCGTCAGCTTTCAATTTTAAAAATTTTTTTAACAAATAAATTATAATAAAAAAATGCTTCTAAAAATTTTCGCATGTGGAACTTTTTAATTAAATTTTTATTTAATAATTTAATTTTAAAAATATTTTTAATGTCTATCAACTTAGTCATTTTTTTTAAATATTAAAAAAATTTTTTTCCAGATATTTAAGCTTAGATTAAAATAATAATCAATAAACGCATCATTTATTCCACGATAGAATTTAATAATTGATGCAAAGAGATGTCAAAATCAATAACAAACAGTTTAATAATCACATGGCACAGTTTAAATTTACCCTGGAAATTATATCAACAAATAAACAAGTTAAAAAATCACACAATAAATTTGTATCTAATTAAAAAAAAAAAAAAATTTTATTAATACTCACTTTATCAAATGTTGCTGAGTCCAAAGGAACACATCCTTTGCAATCTTCAGCATTAACCAATCCAATTGCCACGGTGGCAATGATAAATATCAGCAAACACGACTTCATGTCAGTCTAATAGCTATTTAATCTTAATATCAATAAAAGCACAGATAGTTTAAAATAAAAATAAACTTTTATTGTTTATTTTAATATTTTTAATCTTCTAAATGCCTTTTACTGATGTTATTATCAACAACAATATTTTGTTTGAGAAGAAAAGTAACGAAGATATTAAACAGAAGCCGGTTAATGTTTCAATAATCTTTTTTAAGGTAAAAAAATTAAAATAAAATAATTTATCAGCGAACGTGCTTAATGTTACTGAAAAAAAAAGTGTTATCACAGTAACATGTTTGCTGACGATGGCAATAACGCTAACACATATCGTATTATTATTATTATTATTTATAAAAAGTGGATATGGATGTGGATGGTTACGCGGACTTAACTAGGTTGATACCGTCTACTCTACTGAGAACTGGGAACGCGGTATAGTATATAAGTAAACCCGTCGAATCAGCATCAGCCACGAAGTGCCATGTGGATGTCAATGTATTGGACTCCAGTGCTGGTGCTGGTGTTTTATTCGACAGTCAACATCAACATGTAGCCTACGGAAGACAACAATACATTTATAATAATATTTTACATATATACATATATACACCAGTGAGTGCTCTAATACTAGAGTACATAGAGTACTTATATATTACCTCTCACCTTCACTGTCACTCTCTGATTCTGAATTTGATCCTAGTGTAGGTGCGCGCATGCCTGCTCCAACTCCCTGGAGCTGTTTAGTGTTGGTAATTCGGCTTGGAGAGTCCAAAGGTAGGATACTAAATCTCTGGAGGTGCGCTGGAGTACCGAGTGTTGGTGCACAGCTGCTCTGTCTACTCTGTCGTAGTCGACTGGAGATGGAGATAGAGGGGCAGGATACGAAGAAGTACCTACTGGTGTAGGTACAAAAATATCCAGCACCTGCTATAATATAATATAATATAATACTCTAGGCAGGGAATAAATGTTATGTCATGTAAATCTAATGTAATGCTACACATACTTACGCTGTGTATGATGTTTGTATACATACGAATTACGTTTACGCTACGCTCAATACCGGCACAACGACCCATCTATGATCTACAGCACTTGGTTAATCCAATCGAGACTACCCTTTGTTTTCCTTTCATTTTATACCCTGGCTTCTATATTTGAAATATATATTTTTGACTGATATTTGTACGCTAATTAGCATGATAGAAGTTAGTCTCATCATTCTGAAATTATTTTTTTAACAAACAAATTTGTGCCAAAAAATTATTTTTAAAAAATTGCATTTATAATTATTTTAAATTTAGACATGGCAATATTTTTTTCCAGGATACTAATATGATAAAATCAGTTTTTTAGTGTCATTGCAAAGGTCTTAATTTGAATTTGTACTTTCTCAAGATTTCATTTCAATCTCACTGATAGTAAATTTATTATGATAAGTATTTAGGCTGCATTCGAAAAAGTTCTATCTCTAGATACATAATTAAGAAATGACCTTGTATTTTGTGAACTATTGACATTTTTAAAGATATAAGCTCATCCCGATATTACACTCGGCGAGACCTTTCATTTGAGTACCCACATCAACTTTTCATATATTTTACATATTTATATATTTCACAAATACCATATATATAAAATATATAAAAAATGCCATGTGAGTACTCAAATGAAAGGTCTCGATTAGTGTAACATCGGGATGAGCTTATATCTTTAAAAATGTCAATAATTAAGAAATGACTTTGTATCTTGCCAATTATCGACATTTTTAAAGATATAAGCTCATCCCGATGTTACACTCGGTGAGACCTTTCATTTGAGTACCTACATCAATTTTTCATATATTTTATATATTTCACAAATACCATATGTATAAAGTATTTATGAAAAATATATCAAAAATGCATGTGAGTACTCAAATGAAAGCTCTTGATGGGTGTAACATCGGTATGAGCTTATATTTTTAAAAATGTCAATATTTAAGAAAGTACAGTGCAATTTAACA